CTCTTTCTCTCTCTCTCTTTCCCTCTCTGTCTCTGTCTGTGTCTCTCTCTCTTTCTCTCTCTGTCTGTCTGTCTCCCTCTCCCTCTCTCTCTGTCTCTCTCTCGGTCTCTCTTTCTCTCTCTCTCTCTCTTTCTTTCTCTCTCTCTTTCCCTCTATATCTCTGTCTCTGTCTCTCTGTCTCTCTGTCTCTCTCTGTCTCTCTCTCTCTCTCTCTCTCTCTCTCTCTCTCTCTCCGCCTCTATATTTCTCTCTTTCTCGTTAAACGGTCTTACGTCATAGAAGGATCATTATGGAGAATGTCGTGCAGGTGTTATCCTCTAATTCACCCCCAGCTCCCCGCAGGTTGACTGCTTCACAAAGCCTGTCACGATGATACCAATTAGCCTTTGTTCCTTTCTTTTAAACCTTAAAATATAGCTCGGGCAGGGTTGTGAATCTAGTTGTGCTTACGTCTATAAATTTGTAACTTTGCGTTTGTTGTTGTTTAAGAAATAATTTCGCAGTGTGTAGTACTTATAATAACATAGAAAGAAAAACACTCAACTAGTAGGACGGCAGGCGTCTGTGATGTAGTGGTTAGGTACATGTACTTCGTTGCCGCACGCAGAAGACCGGAATTCGATTCCTGTGAGGGGAGAATATTTATTAAGTACTGCAGTCTTTCTGCTTGCGTTAGCTCGGACAAGCAGAGTCAAATCTCCATCCTAAATTATGTTTATTAGTGCCAATAGGGACGTAAAGACACTTACATGCACATTGTTAATTTACAATTTGGTGAAGTTTGGAAATAAATGCCGTCGTCTCAAGATCCCTATTTTCTTTTAACAGAAGCCTTTAGAAACTATTGCCTCATAGTTGACTTACCAACTTGTTTAACTATGATTATAGTGTTTATTGTCTAATACTTCTGAAGTTGTCATTTTAGTACAGAAATAGTGACACTCTCTTTAACTTACAAAAAAAGATAATGGTTTTGTATTGCTCAACTCAGTCTCTTATCGCCTCAAAAAAGCCGGTGTTACATTCCCCTTGTTTGACTCTCCCCTTATTGTCCCCCAGATGGCTCCATCATGAACAACCTGAACCACCCGACCCGCCCACAGCGCCCCCTACACGGTCCCCGAGTGGCCAACATCCCTCGCTCTGGATTCCCTCCCTTGTCCGGGAGACAACTGGGTCACTCCCTCGACGCGCAGCTGCCTTCCCAGAACCCTCCTCGCTCCTTCAGCGCCCCGCCTGTCAAGCACGTATCCTTCCGCGATGACTACCGCAGCGAATGGCCGGAACTACTTCCTCCCCACCCACGGGGTCACGGAGCCATGATGCCCCCACCCATCCCGGAAAAGTGGGGGTCCGCCTCCAAAGTTGGTCATGGTGGCGTCCCGAGGGGGATGGGTGAGCTCACGGTCAACCTTGATCACAGTTTCGAGACAGCTGAGGACGGCAACAGTACGACGACAAGCGGCAGCTACACTGTGGACGATCTGTCGCCGCGAGGCATTGGCATCAACTACAACCCTGAGCAGGCTGTGGTCTGAAGGAGACTTCTCTGAGACTCACTACGCCAAAAAGTTTGAGAGACACAACAGAATGCACATTGTACCTTTGGGAGCTCACACAATGATGAAAAGGCTTTGTTCGTCAACAGAGATTTCTAAAGTCTCAATACACAAAAAAATGCTGAGTAACAAAGACTGATTTGTGTCACAGTAATGGGAACTCAAGCAACGGATAACAACCAGCATATTATGTTGACATGTGAGCGCTATGTCCCATCCAGTATGCCTAAAATCTGGACCGTTCAGATACCGATCATTTCGTACTTTTCGAATAAAGTCTCTACAAACTTTCAAGTTTCTAGAGCTACATAGGAGTGTCGAACGTATGGTTTCAGGTTTAAACTAAATCAGAATGGGCATACATTTTTCGATGATCAGACAAGTTGTCCCTTTGCACTGACTTAATCGTGTCCTGTTGGTCATTCAGCTCACTTCACACTTACACAAGTCTCTAAGATCGCAATCTTTGGGAACTTAACAAACACGCTGTGAACGTGAACATTGAGGACACAAACGACGACCACATTGTGCCATGTCCTGGAGAGTTTTGACTTGTGAGCAAATGGCTCAATAACTAAGTTGAGCAATAGACTACAAGAACTGCCTACGTAATAAGGATGCAGAACGTTGATTTCCCTTCACAACATGATCAACTTATTGTGTTGTTCTTGGGATGAAATCGTCACAACAGAATGCTTTTCTTCATCTCATCCAGGGCAACGAAATACTACTTTGATCTTGCCCTCGTCCCGTGTCTGACAAGAGTAAGCATATTCAGTGGGCTGTAATGATGTATGTTCTCCACGGAGTCTGAGATGTTACAATAGAATAAACCGACCCGTGAAGGAAGCTATTATGAAGTCACAAGAGCCTTACGGTAGTAAATTAAAAGTTTATTTTTACAAATTAAAAAGGACTGACCAATTTAGGCAGAGCGTGAGAAAGTGCTTCTTCTAGAAAGTGCGCGCAGCCACACTGTCGAACTTACTGGTTATGACGTAAGACTTTATGTAGGCACATTTCGTTGTTACAAAGACTTCATGAGACAGAAAACCTGTCAGACTTAAGATGAGCTTTTAGCCATTCGAAGGCTTTGTGAAGAAGGTGTGTTTCTGACTTCTTGTGAGCATCACTTTTATTAATTGAGCAAGGAACCAAGCCAGCGACGGAATGTATGAAAACATTGATTTTCGTTTCCTCGAACTAGTCACCCGTTCCTTGTAGAAACAATTACTCGTGTAATTGAAACTACTCACAAGATAGCTAAACCTGAGACAACATGACAATGGTCTCTGTTGAACGGCATACATAGAACCTCGATGAGCTTTTTAAAAACAAAACTATTAGCTGTGCACAGCAGACGCAACGTTTCCTGGAAGTATTACAACTGAGAAACCAAAGACAATTAGACGGTTTTCAACCTTCTAAGACTTTTCAGTTGTTTTTTATATGCGTGGTAAGAGCTGCGCGGTATTTGGTCATGTTCATATTGTATGGATGAGATTTACACTTTACTACCTTCTGAGAGATTCCATGACATGTACACTAGTAGACAGCCCTTGGCATAAACTGTCAACATATCTTTTCTCATTTTTTTGGGTCATTTTGTAAGTAAGAACATTTATGTTGAAATGTTCATACAATTTAGTATTTTACTCCCCCCCCCTCCCCCTTTTTTTCTTTAATTTAAAGGCTCTGGCTGCTGTGGCCAAACCTTTGAAATATCTTGAGAAACTATAATGACTGTAGTAGTAAGGTCCCGAGATTCCTTTTCTATAGTTTTTTTTCGAAAACGCAGTCTCTCCTTTACGTTTTCGATCAGTTAAAAAAAAAATATTCACCCTATTAAGCAAACCAGTCTGTCTAACTTTTCATCCTTCCCTCTCTCCATCCATCCATCCATCCATCCATCCATCCATCCATCCATCCATCCATCCATCC